GGGGGAAGGGAGCGCCCCACTCCCTCGCCAGCAGCAGCCGCATCAACAGCTGTTATTTATTGAGGGCTGGTCGGGCCTCAAACAAGCACTTATGGGGCGCTTCCCGTGTGCCAGGCACAGTGCCCAGGCGGGCGGGGGTAGAGAGCCCGCCTCTGCCCGCCCTCCTGGGGTTCTCCACTGGGGGGTCTGTCCTGCCCTGGGCCTCTCTGCTTCATCCCCGTCACTGGGGGCTGGGCCTTGGTGCGCCCATTTCACAGGTGAGGAAACAGGCCGGAGAGGAGCCTGAGTGGACGCAAGGGGAGGGCAGGGACGCTGAGTGTTCAATCAATGGGGCCACACGTGGGCTGATGTCGGCAATGGGGTCCAGGCTGCGGTGGAAGCCCAGGTGTCTGACTGCCAGTGGGGCTTGCCTAAGGGCAGGTGCTCAGGGATGGGACAGGGTAGTCCGGATACAGCCCCCATCCAGGCCTGGCTTGGCCTTGGGTTTCTCAGAGCTTCTGTATCCTTGGCACAAACGGTTTACACTCGACCGACCGCTAACCTAAGGGGTTGGAGGTTCAAATCCACCCAGCGGAAGAAACGTTTGGCAATGAGCTTCTGTCAAACAACCACAGCCAAGAAAAGCCAATGGGGCGGTTCCAGTCTAGCCTGTGGCTGCAATGGGCTGGGTGGCAACTAACAGCAGGAGCAAGTTTCGGGGAATGAGGGCCCGAGGGCCGCTTAGAGGCCTTCCTGGCTTCATTCAGCCCCTTCCATTCCTGGAGCACTCACTGTGTGCTGTTGGGGGAGCACAGCCACCATCCTCAATGCCCCCATCAGGGCTCAGGAATGCAGCAGGGTCTCTGTAAATACCAGGTCCTTTCCCTGGCACTCCCCCAGGGTGACCCCAAGCCACCATTTGAGGAACAAATCTGGGTGAGCCACTCCTGACCCTTGCCAGCTGTGTCCCTCTGTGACCTGCCAGCTTCCTGGGAGCCTGTCCTGGACTGTGCTCTCCTGTTTCTCTCTCCTTCTGTCAAGGAGGCAGCTGTCTGTGCGTTG